AAATAGTTGGAAGTCTCAGAGAAGGTTTACCTTTCCGGCGAAGGGGATTTAAATAGGTCATGTGACTAGACTCCAGGGGGAAATATACTGTCATAATTTTTAAATACCATCACCATTTTTCAGTACAGAGGTGAACAACAATACCCTTATACTGCCCACGCCTGAACATCTTTCTAGCCAATCAACGGCCTACTGCTGACATGAATCCTAGCTTGGATCAACTTTCTTGGATCCTTGACCAAGTAGGTCCTAAGTATGGAGTTGGAAGCAGGTGGGACCACTCTCTTGAAAGACTCTAAAGCTGCACCGTGTTGATCCAAGTAGGGCAGAGTCGAGCCCATGGAAAAGGGCAAAAAGAGAAGTTCCTCTATGGGCCGATTGTTTAAAAATTACCATCTGAGCTGTCAACATCCCACAAAATGACAGGAGGAATGGAGTAAAGCCAATTTTTCTGGTATGGTTACAAAAGGTCAAAATCTAGCCTTTCATTAAGAAGCTAACACAGCAAGGGCTATAATTCAAGAAACAAACACACTGCTGTACCTAAAAACACCATGATAGACAGTAGACTTGGAAGTCAAAACTGGTTTCCTGCTTATTTTCTGTACCGTTTGTCTTGTAATGATCAGTAACCACATATTACTGTTTAATGCCTTTTCTTGCTCCATTTTCACATCTCCAGGGTAGTGAATTAAGTATTTAGAAGTTGTGGAGAGTCATGCCACCTGACACTTCACCGAACACTCCCTTCCACTGTGATACCTTGCAGCACACAATGCCCTCCACTGTCTTTGTGAAAAGCAGTTTGTTCGACGCCTCATACCACGAAACTGGAGAAGTATGTGCTGCTCTGGCAGACAAAATGAAATAGTATATTTACTTCGCCCTGTGTGCTACATGACTTCTTCAATAGAGGCAGTAAAAATGGGTGGCTAAGACCTCCTCCGCTTGAATCATTTCAATTAACCCCACTCACATCCTTGATACAGTGCCTCTGGAACATCGCAGTAAAAGTCTTTGTCGTCAAAAAAAGGGACAATGGTTGTTACAAAAGAGGGTGTTTGTCAGGGTGAAAAAAGAAGCAAAAAGGATAAAAAGTTCTTGTATGAGTCATCCTGAGCGCTGCATGCAAGGACATCATCACAGTATAAAACTCACTGCCTCTTCCTTTTTTCCCTTCTTTGGTTGGGCAAGAATCACAAGAATCACGCCACACTCCACACACACACGTCGTCACCCTGTGAAAGAAAAGCCACGATGTGTAGGCGCAAACACATCATTTAATTTCATTTCTTATTTCTCAGAATTAGCCTGTTATTGGATTGAAAAGGGTGCCCTTGACTGCTGCTGCGGAGAGTTGCCGCCGTTAAAATATTTATCTTCATTGCACTGAAAGGCAGGCCAAAAGGGTAGAACAAGAAAGAAAGGAAGAGCAGAGGAATACAGACGACATGAGCCACGTTTGAATGTTGATTCTGTGCAACCCATTGGTCTGCTGTGGTGCATAAAGTGCTGTACAAATAAAACTGGATTGGAAAATCTAAAAACGAACATTTATACTTGGATGAATGACATTAACACAGTCATAACTGTATAATAAATTACAAAGACTGTCTGGGGTGCCAAGTGTAAAATAAAGGCTGTGTCCAAAACGACAGGTCAGGTCCTCCGAAGGTCGAATTTGTCGGCCGCATACGTCACAGCGCCGCGACGAAGGACGTCCAAAACCGAAGACTCCTCCGATGCGGCCAACAAATACGTCCTTCCTTTGGCCCGAATTGAAGGACAGGTCTGATGGATCCTTCCCGGCCCAGCATATCCCATAATGCATTGCGGCCCGACCGGAGATTTTTTTCATGCTAGTAATGGCGGACAAAGCGAGAGTAAAGAATACATTTTAAATAAAAAATATGGTGACATAAAAATTAAAAAAAATTAGCGGTTGTAATTCTAATACTTTTATCATTTGTATAGACATGTTTTTACATATTTTATTTTTATAATAAAAAATGCGAAATAAACATGAACCTACAGCGGGTCAATTAGTTTTTCAAATGTTACCTTTAAGTTAATTTTATAGTTTTGTGATATTAATAATGCTAATATATTGATATTTTTCTAATTTTGATTTAAGTTTGCTTGTTTAGCGTCGTCACAGTTGCTATGTGACAAGACGTACGCCGGGGTAAGGAGGGGAGGCTAGACCGTCCAAATTCACAGCCTCTTTTTTTCCGGTCTTCCCAGTCTAACAAGGACCCGGCCCGCCGAGACCGGGTAGTCTGGGTCCTCCGGAGGACCCGGCCTGTCGTTTTGGACACAGCCAAAATGTTCACTAACATATTTTCATTATTTAGCTCACTTTCAAAAAGTAAAATTTTAGTTTGAAAGTGTCCGCTAACATTTTATTGTTACTTAGTTCACTGTTCTTACATATTTACTAAATGGTAAAATCTAAATGTAAATGTTGCAGCTAAATGTTAAAGTTCACATTTAATTATTTCAGAATGGAATGCAGCCTTTGCTGTTGCTATGATGTCATCATCCTTCAGCATAAGCAATACTGCTAACACTGCTAGCACTGCTAAAGCTTCCCTACAAGACATCAAACTTACAGTTGTGGACAACACCCAAGCTGCACTTCAAACTGCTGGTCCACAGGTACCATCCCTTTTATTTTAATGAACACATTTTGAATATTTTTTAAATACCATCTTCAGCAACATTAGCAAAACATTAGCAGCTTTTGCTTTCGTCGCAGAATGATGACGTCACAATAACGGCCATGAACCAGTAACAAAGGCTGCATTCTAATCTGAAATAAATAAAATGTAAACTTTATCATTTAGCTGCAACATTTAAGAACTAATCTTTGCATTTAGATTTACACTTGTAGAATCAGGATTTATTAACATTTAGCAAAAAAATGGTCAAAATGTAAGAAGAGTGAGCTAAAAATAAAATGTTTAAAATGTATTTTTAAACTACAATTTTGCACTCAGATTGTGAGCTTTAAAATGAAAATATGTTAGTGACATTTTTATACATTTTATTTTACATTTGGCACCCCATATGCCTCTACCATCAGATTCAATTATTTTTCAACTGAATAAAGGTTGGTTTTGTTGTTCTCCTATGCTTTAAATAAATATGATGATACCACACTGGCCCTTGCCTTCCTACGCAGTTCAACTAAATTTCCCTTCACTGCTCCTCGTACGAAGCAAAGCAAAGGACAAGGGGCTGGTTTTAACCAGGCTAAAACTTTACACAACCGGAAAACAGCTGTTACAAAAGTAAAAAAAAATATATATAATGATTACATTTATTTAACATTTATTTCATCTTCAGCATGACAAAATAATGATTTTATTTGTAATATCAAATCCATTCTGGTTTCTATTTGCTGTTCTTTTAGATTGTTTTTTCTTTCTTTATTTTTTGTACTATGCCTCGACTTGGCTCTATATGAATATACTGAACTGTATTTTAATCCTGTTCTTGCATTTAGATAGAAAACTCAAACATTTTAAAGGGTAGCTTTGTAAAAGAACAATAACTATCTTACTTGTTGAGGAAGTGAGGAAAGCTTGTTAAGCCTTGAAGAAAAAGTGTTTTATTGTCTGGCTGAATTAAACTAGTTTGAGCACAGCTAAAACCTAAATAAATTGCTGTCATCTTAAAACTGTTCAAGATTCCAAACTTTTATAGCAGTTTATGCAAACAGCTTTATACCACTGTCACGGAGCTGTAGCACTTTTGGTGCTGGCTGGGGGCTTTTCTTCCTGTTTTGTTGTTTTATTATTATATTTCTGTTGAAATAACTGTGGAATACAACACTGGCAGCCATGAAAAGGTTTATAAAGGAGCATTTGGATGAACTGCAGCACTCACACTGGCCACTATGAGTGCATCAAATAAGGTCTGAAAGAATCCACTTTCCAAACAACTGTTGCCATCTAAGAGCAACTCCAAAACTTCATAGCAAACACAATTTCATTACACGTTTAAAGTGATCAATACACGACTGAACAAAGAAATATTGTAAAGGTTTCTACCAGAAGCCAGGTTTCACTGGGAGCACTTCAGTCGGCTTTTTGACACTTTAAAATACCACCTGAAAGTCTGACGTTTGAGCAAAATACAAAGAAATAAGGTCCTTCATATATAGTGTTTTTGTATGAGTTTGTCATTAAAATAAGCGTCTGTAGTCTTTTTTTTTTTTTTGCATTTAAACCTGTGCATTGGTTTGTTACTGTTTCAATTACATATGTGCTATGTCATGTTCAACATGTCCCATTTGTCCAGAAAACTAATTACTCACGATCTGAACAAAAGAATAGGCAGCTTCTTCTGGGTCATTTTATTTAGTTAATTGTTGGATGAATCAATAATCTGTGTTAACCAACATAAGCATTGTTTACTGTGATTTTCACTGTAATTGACTAATTATTAGTTTCATCCAGTTATTAGGTTGTTTTTTAATATGGAAATCTACAAACTGTCACAAACGTTTCTCTTTTTATAACCGTTGAACATCCTGAAGTCCTAGCTTTCTGAAGACACTTCATGGTTTGAACTTGTTTCAACATTTTTGCACTTTCACACTATTTACAGTAACCTTAATCTTTTTAGCTGTAATCTCTTCATCCACACCTAACACCTGTCCTGACTTCTCCAACTTACGACTCATTTTAGAGCAGTTAAACTTCTTTTGATTTTAAGCCTCCCTTCCTTTTTTAGAAAAAAGCTTGAACGTTTGCTGTTACATTTGTCCAGATACTCAAGGATTAATTGATTTCCCACAAATCTTTGTTGGAATTGCAGTGATTTTTAAGGCAGTAGAATTAAACTGTTTGAAGAACTAATATAAAAGCAGCTTAATTTCTTGATCTAGTTTATTCTATAGTCACCGACAAAAACTTCAATCTCTTCTAAAGTTATGACATTATTGACATTTTAAAAAACGCTGTTCTTTTTAAAATACAAAAGGTTCAACAGAATAAATCCAAAAGCTTCATTTATTCACAAACATTACTGTACAAATGTACAAAGACTGGACTTTTTTTAAACATGTCAAACGATGAGGCACAAAATTATAACACTTTTGCATTTTTATCATCACGATCGTTTTGCTAGTTCCTCACTGGGTTGAACTGTTGATGACTTGTTATTGAACGAGGGAGTCTCAGAAGTGTCTTATGGTCAATTTCCTCGTGTCAGTCAGAAAGACTTGCAGCACTGTTGCCTAAACATGCTCCAAAAATAATCAACAAAGCATTATTTTATATTAGCACACTTTTGAACAACCTTATTTTAGTTTATTTTTAGACTTTTTATATCTACTGTTGGCAACAAAATGATGTGCATGCAGTTTTGCAAGCTGTGCCCATAAGCATACACAATGATTTCTGGAAATCTGACCCTCCTAAACATGGCCAAACAGCTCCCTTGTTGCAAACAGTAAGAATTTAGTGAATCTGCAACAAAAACAATTCAGTCACCAACTAGTCTTCAAACAGTTGCAGCCCAGTGAGACTCTATCCTTAGAAACCTGAGCTCGACACAAAATGTTAGAAACTGTACACAACAATAAAGCATTAGAAAAAAGGTGAATATGAAAGTAAATATTCAGTACCTGCACTCGATGCAATCAGTTCCTTTTTACAGACTCAGACAGGCCTGCAGCTTTTTGACTGTACAGCTTAAAGCTTTAAATAAAAACACTGTTGATTTACTGTCTCTGCATCAACAGTTGAAACAACACACAACGCAACATCCTGGTGTAGAAAATCAGATGGTTCACTTCTGCGTTAAAATGAGTTGAAATTTACAAAAAGGCTGACTGAGGCTGAGAGCTGAAACTTCTCAGTCAAGATGCTGATCAGCAACAGCAGCAGAAACCGTTTAGGGAACATAATAAATGTCATGCTGTTGTTGCCCACAGAGCATCCTGCTTCGTTTAAACTTCTTTTAAGCTTTCCTTCCGGGGAGGGGTGTGGGTCACAGGGTGGAGCTCTGCCTGGGGATGAGCTGCAGTCTCTAGGAGGGTGAATCTTCTCCACGTATGGCTCTGTACTTGGCCATTTCCTCTGGGAAAACTTTACTGAGTTCGGAAATTAAAAGGCTCTTGAATTTCTGCAGAGAAAATAAACAGAACAGTGAAAGTTGCTGTGATTCATAATTTACAGCTTTTTAGTTTTTTTTTTCTTATGAAAACATCTAATGTTTTCATGACATGAATGATGCATGGCCAAAGAAAATCCTTCTTATAAGGCATTTTTGCATTATAAAGCCCACCACGGCCTTATTGTACACCGGGCCGGGTTGTGTTTGGACTGAGCAGAGCCGCCTCCTCGATGTGGGCGGGATCATATTAAAAACATGTGAAGTGCCAAATATTGAACCGAACCATCCAGTATGGAGGTAAATTTGTGTTTTTATTATTCAATCAAACAAAAAGCATCTTCAATCAAAAAAAATAATTTCAATCAAAAAATTTTTTTTCAACCAAACAAAAAGTAAATTCAATCAAAATTAATATTTTCAACCAAAAAAAATAATTTCAACCAAACTAAAAAAGCAGTTTCAATATAAAAAAATAATTTCAACCAAACAAAATGTTTTATCAACCAAACAAAAAAAAACTATTTCAATCGAAAAAAAAAAAAAAACCTATCAAAACGTTTTTTTTGCAAAGAAATCAACCTTTTGGTTGACTTTCTAAG